ACGTGGAGTGAAATATCTCCACTGCCATGGGCCAAAGGTACACCAGGAGCTGTGGGGCATGTCTACTCGTGATGCAATGCTCCACTTCATCAAAGAGGCATGCCAATTGGAGGATGTACCTGTCACGTTTTACAGATTGCAAAAGGTTATGAGTCAATCTAATCATCTCACTTTCATATGCAAAGCTCATTTTGAATCTATTCCACATATATTTCTTCCCTCTGACCCAAATACCCCAACAAATGCAACACCAGCACATTCTGTTTCGCTTCATTTGATTTCTGGACAAACAGCTATAGTGCACTTATATAACCATTCTTCTATACCAGTTCCTGTCCTCCCTATTTATAAAGCACTCATCCACTGAGTGAAACTTTGAATCCTGGCCCATCTATTACGTAATCTGCTATTGCTTCCAATTTGTTGCTAATAACAACTCAAATTTTCTAGCCAACTATGAGCAGGGCGTAACAGTGAAATAGCTGTGTTATCTGGGACACCTCTCTGACAGCTCATCATTTGTTTTTTCAGGATAAGAGGGAGGAGAGGGGAACAGCATTGCTTGGTCTGACCCTGCGAGGAATGCAAGTTTATCAGGTGCGTGCACGTGTGAGCGTATTATTAGTGCACAGTATGTAAGCGAAAAGTCATTTTAATTTGCTCAGGGATTCGCTCTTTTGTATCTGTAGTCTTATAAAACCTCTGACTAGATGTGTGAGGAATGTGGGGGGGGTTGCCACCACCAGCAGTCCATCAGGAGATAGGAGCTGCCTGCCATGACTGTCAGTTCTTTGATCTGTCTGTCAGGGGCCATCTGGGGGGGGGATTAGCACTCCAGGCCTGGCTGATTTCAAAGCCAACAGACCGTGGCATACCTCGAGAAGCCTTTGGCCTCTTTTGAGTCCAGATGGCTCCAAAAGACAGTTGATTATTGATCTGTAATTTTAAAAGCATCAAAGTAGATTATACAATCACAAATCTTTTGGGGGTTTTTTTTTGGGTTTTTTTTTTTTTTTGTGTAAATGAAGTGTGTATGTGTGTTTATGTATTCTCAGGAGGTGAACAACATACTTGAGCTAATATATGACTTTCCCTGGTCAAATGTAGGACGTCTTACCTTCCTGGTAAGCACACACAGCTCATTTTCTCTGTTAAGAAGAAGTAGAATTCTGGTAATTATTTAATGGGCCCTAGCTTTTTACACTGTGTATAATGTGTTAATATCATTCAGGGTAAGAAATTCGAGATCCAGCCAGATGGCTTGCCATCCGCCAGGAAGCTGGTTTACTACACTGGTTCATCTTTCCGCTCTCGCCACCTCCTCTTGCACCTGAGCAACAGCCATCAGCTCTACCTCAGCCTTCAACCTGTCCTCAAACACCTACACCAGCTGGAGGAGAGCAAAGGTAGGAGAGGGGAAAGTATGTCAAAGGATAAGAAAAGTAACAGAGCACAGTTTGGCTGGTGGCTCCTTGTAGTCACAGTAGCTTCTGGAGGTTAGTTAGTAAATTTAAACTTTGTTCCAAGAACAAAACTGTTCTGTAATCACATTTGTAACAATTCCACTAGAAAACATTTTTGCACTTTTGTGATGCCTTAAATGGGTCTTAAGTATTTTAGATATAACTATATTTCTGATTTTATAGCTGAAGTTTGGTGTGTACTGACAAAAACCTTCTATAAAGTCACTATTGGCTTCTATTACTACTAGTAATATAATAAATAGAATAGTAATAATTAGTACTTAGGTTTTTAGTACTTTATATCAATTTCTGAAAACAAGATGGATGCTAGTTCTTTCTTAGATTTTTTTTGTTTGTTTGTTTGTTTGTTTTTTTTAAAAACCCCACTGAAACATGTTTATTTTTTCATTTTTAGAGAAGCAGCATTATAGAGAGTCCTACATCAGTGATGATCTGGATTTGGATCCTCAAGGCAGTGAAGGCAGTCCCGGTCTCTCCCGACACTCTACTAGCAGCTCTGGAATTGAGGCGGACACTCGCCAACACAGCATCTGCGCAGAGATGGTCTCCATGGGGGACGAAGGTCATCAGCAAGCTGAGAAGTGTTTCAGCTCAGCAGCCAGCCGAGGCAGCTCCTGTACCTCAGGATTTGACACAAGCAGCAAAGCACGAATAGAAGATGAAGGGTGGCAAGAGGAAGGTGAGACCATTCTTAAATAAAACCTTTACACAGGATCTGTTCATCCTTCTGCAGATATTTCTGAATTAAACTAATGCTTCCAGTCTGCTAGCCTGATCTAGCAGCATTGTTACTCTTAAGTATGGTGCAATTCTCAGTGTTTCATTCAAAGATGCATGCTGGTAGTGGGATCATAGGACTACAGAATGTGAAATTTGAATGTTGACTTTGCATACATAAAACTGGCTAAGCATGTGTTTTGCATCATTGCTGTCTCTTTTCCATCTGGTCAGGCCTTTCAATGGTGCAAAGAGAAATGTGGCTACTAGTACTGTCATAACTGAACAGCACATTCTTAGGCTGTTGGCTATGCAAAACATATTGCTCAGTAAACAATATGGTGTTGTCATTTCAAAACTTGTGCTTTATTTGTGTTTTAATAAGCATTACAATGTCCTATCTAATATTGGGTCTTTGCTTCTTCCGGGGTTTTTTTTTTTCTCCTCTTTTTTTAAATTTTTTTATGAAATTTCCTTTAAGTCTGGGCAACACATTAAACAAAAAATATTTTCCTTTTCAGTAATGCAAGTAAACATATTAGCATTCCATTACCATCTGAATGAAAAAAATTATATTGTACTTTACTGTCTTGTTTTGTTTTTCCTGCTTTGGGGGGATTAAATTTGAAAATTCATGGATAAAGATAATGAAATATTTTAGCATTAAAAATGTCATTTCAGTTAAAGAGCTTGTGCACATTGGTGGATTAACCATTACAGAAAGATGAGAACTTATTTTGGTAATAAACATTAATGTTAATTTAGGGTAACTGTGGTATAAACCTTTCATTTGGTGGTGGACTAATAAAATTAAGCATTGTACTTTTTGGCCTTTATGAGGACAGGACAGTTGAGAGTACAGGAAAGCTGGCAGAGACAATGGGGAAATGATGCACATTGAAAGACCTGGGTCAGATTCAAACCCAGGCAATATTCCAGTGAGTTATATGGGAACCCCTTTATGAAATTTCTAAAACGTTTTTAATTTTTTTTTTTTCCCCCACTCATTTTCTTTTTTTGTCCAGAGATCAAGACCAGGGTCCAAAGTCCAGACGAGGTTCTTGTGGATGATCCTGATGAGATGTTCCAGCTGGCTGATCTTCTGGAAGGAGTTTCGGTGGATTGTGCAGAACTCTGTTCAAAGAATCATTCACCAGGTATAAATATTTTAAACCCTGCAAACATTTGGGTTTGTTTGTTTCCGCTCACATGCTGTTTGCTAGGTTTTTAAATCATATGCTGTGTGTTTCACAGAAAACACAGGCTGTGCTCTACACAGTGATAAAGATGCTGGGAAATCGTATAACAAGGATATGTTAAAAGAGGTAGGTCATATTTTCTTTCCTTGGTTGGTTGCCTTGGCCTCTTTCATGCATTGGCTTACTTTTTGTTCTTAACTTTCTTTCAGGTTCTGAAATCAAAAGCGCAAGTTTGTGTGGATCGGCACAGTCACAGCCTAGATGATGTCCGCCTCGTCCCTCCTCCTGCGCCCCTGGGGATGGCAGTGCCACTTGATTCTTCTCACAGCTACACCTTTGGACTACCAGATGCCTCAGCAAACACAAAGACCACGGTTGATCACAGCTATTACCCCTTCTTGCACTGCCAGCCTAATCCTACCTTCTATGGCCGCAGGTCCACCAACTGCCTCTCCCTGGACATGTTGGGCGATGAACAGTTCATGGAATACATATTTTGAACATATCAAGTGCTGACAAGTATACCTGTCCTCCTTCTTTTTGTACAGTGCAACTTAATTCACAGGTTGCCAGCATGTGTTTTTTCTGTAAAGATGGATGTGTATACTTCAAACAGCAGACACATTATCCTTCTTTTAAAAGCTGTGGATTACTTCAGCACCATTTCATGTAGTAAGCAGTTCATATTTATTAATGTTGTATATTTTGTATATATTACTTGCACTATTTTATTACATTTCAGCTTTTCTATACTGAAAAATGCCTAATCAAGTTTGTCTTTTGTAAATTTCACACTTTTTAAACATTTCCTGAAGTGGCAGAATCAGTTTATATCAGGGGCATAAAATTTTGATGGTGAAATTTTACCGCCATGCAGTTGTTTTATGCATCAGACAGCCATACGACATGATTTGCATTCCTCTCTGTATGTAAATTTACTCATTTTATCTATAGCCATGTTTGAGCTCTGTTGATTTGTTTTATCTTCATTTTTTTTATTACTTTAACACACACTTTTGTATAGTGTGCACTCCCACGTCTTTTACAGCTTTGTAACTACTGATGTGGAAAATTGAACTTCTTTACAGCTCAGTGTATTCAGCCAAAGCTTTCCAAATCTGTTTGCCTTCTGTTGTGATGATTACTATAGAAAAATTTTATTTGTGAAACACTGTTGTCAATAAATGTATAATGAAGCTACAGTATTTTTGTATTATGTAACCCACGAACAAAGAGCATTTGTTTCTCTTTTCTTTTTTTCCTTTTTATTAGTGTTCAAATGAACTGTTGTATTTAACCTGTATGAGGTTCCCAGTCATTAAACACAAACTTTGACTAAATGCCAGTAAACTGAACAAGTATAAAGTCAATGTCATATTTTTGAAAGCACTATTTTTTTTTTTATTTTTTTTTTTATAATGGTGAAAATAAATTCTTTACGCTCTTAAAATAAACCAAAACGTCGTTTTTGTACTGTGCCACCGATATACTATTAATTTTCTATTTAAATTTGAGCAGTTTGCATTTTTTTTCAGCGTTATTCTTTTCTGCCTCACATTTCTCGCGAGAGTTGGGGAATTACGTTTGCGGAAGTTTACGTTCTGTTTTACCTAAACGTGCTGCCGGTAGCAGCTCGCTTGCCATGCTCATACCTAGCAATTTAACAGACGCTCGCAATGTATTCCGCTTTAATTAACGCAGTGTTATCCAGCTCGCCTGACTACGACCTTCTTTTTGAGTCTCTTTCCTGGCCGAGTCAGTCGTGGCCAGACACGGAGCGGGTGGAGGCGCTGACAGCTTTCATTGAGGGACTCGGACCGCTTTTGACCGAGCCGGATTTGACCTCGTTTCCAGATGCAAAGAGACGCTGTGTTTTAGATAAAGTTGAGTCGGTCCTTTGGACCAAGTGTCTGCCTTTCCTCTCCAGAATTTCGGCTGAAGCAGGTGAAGGTGTGCGGTGCAGGGAGAGCACAGCAGCTGCGTGCAGACTACTGAGTGTGAGTGTACCTCTCTGTAACGAGGCTGTGTGCAGGCGAGTCTGTCAGTCCATCCTGCCCTCACTCCATCTGTCAGAGGAAGAGCTGACCTCTCCGGGAAGACTCAGTGTGGAGGTTGCGAGTGAAGTGGTAGCTGCTCTTCTGCCGTTTCTGGCAGCAGATGAACAGCTCACACACACCACCGTGTCTTCTAGTCTCTCCTCCATCAGGACACTCCCTGATGCACTGGTCTCCAAGCCAGTCAGGGTCATCTTAAGTCTGCTGAACTGCCTCAGCAGTGAGCGGTTAATAAGCATCCTCAAGCTCATCCTGGATGATCTATGCAGCTGGCACTCCACCGACCGCACTCCTGCAGTTACAGAGCGCACTCTGCTGTGTTTGACAGCCCTGTCAGACCACCTCCTTAAACCTCACCACCACCTCCCCTCTTCCTGCTGCTCTGACCCCGACCCTCGTCTGTCCCTTCAGTTCTGGAGGATGGTTCAGGATGGACTGATCCACAGAGACAGCGTGTCACGAAAGAGAGCACTGTTCCTGCTGAAAAGGTGTGCAGCCCTGTCTGAAGAGGATGGATTAGACTGTCCTCTTTCTGCAACAAGGGAAGGTATAAAAAAAACACACACACACACTGAAAGCAGACATTAGGCCAGTTTTAGGTTTACTGTTATTTTATGGCTTTTCAGACAACTTTTTTTCCCTAACCTGTTGCAGATGAGAACTTGTTTAAATGGGCTTTCAGCAAGAGCAAGCTGCTCAGAGAGTTCTGGGAGGATTACGTACTGGTGATGGAGACTCTGGAGGAAAACCAAGTAGGATATCCTGCACCAGTGTTTGACTGCTTTTTCCAAGGAGGGCATCTCGATACATCTGTTTTACTGTTCCTCCTCTCTTCTTCCTCTGCAGATTCACGTGGTCCGGCCAGTTTTAAACAGGATAGACACACTGATCCAAACAACAGCGAATGATGATCAAGGCAAGGAAAAAACATTACTTCCAGCTTATTAGGCCTCTGTGAATGAAATGGGCTGAACTGGTTATATCTTCTTTCAGAAGTACATAAGTCAAGTAGAAAATCCCTTAAATTCTTTGAAAAGTAAAGTAACTGTAAAGTAAGTGTGAAAGATCTCAGAGTGGTAGTTTGTTTCTAATGTTTCAGGTCAAGGACTCTTCCACCCCTCCTGGCTGCTGTGTGTGTACCAGCGCATGTTCCACAGTGAGAATAAATCCTTAATGCGAGAAGGAGTGTGTCATCTGCTCGAGCTCCGGGTTCTTCAGCAGCCGACTTTTGCTTTGGCCTTTTCTCAGGTAGACTTAATTTGTTCCTTGGCCCTTGATTGTTTTCATTCAGTACAAAGTTAAAAGCGTGCATTAAAGTTTCCTCTTCTGTTGCTTTGCTCTTAAGTTCATCGTTGGCCCCTTTATGGATGTTCTCTCGGAAACGTCCCTCTTCCACAGGTGAGAATTTAACATTCATTAACAATAGGAAATAATAGTAATGCAGGGATTATTATGTTAAGTACTGCTTTGCACTAGCCTTAATTAACCCAGCTTCTTTCCACATATAGGTCAGTTGGTCAGAGTGTGGGAGACTGTCCCGAACTGGGGGTTAAACTCGAAGTCTTTCTGGCTACCTTCTTCAGTAGCCTGCCAACAGAGCATAGAGGTAAAGGGTCACAGAAGCCACAGCGAACACTTATGAGCAAAGTCCTCTCACAGCTCATGGTTAAATTGCTAAATCCACCTCTGACTACTGTGTTCACATTGTAGGTTGTGTCTTGCTTCAGCTGATTCAGCAGCTGGGCTCTAAACACTGGTGTGCAGTTCCCCTCCTCTTCCTCTGTCAGGCCCTGTCCAAACTTCCCCCAAGTCCACTGCTGGGCACCAGCGGGCTCACTGCTCTGAGGTAACTTACAGTGGTTACACTTAGACATACTCTGTCGAAGCTGGTGACACTTAATAAAGTGGTCATTGTGTGTCTTTTGTCTGTACAGGGATGTCCTGCGCTGCACCATGATCACTCATCAAGTCCTCTTAAGAGGAGCTGCCCAGTGCTTCCTGCTTAACAGTGCCCTCTCTCTCACAGTTGTGGTAAGACAGAAGACGACGCAAAATACTGGACTCTTTATTAAGTACATCTTCCAAGTACTGAGTTGATCAAGCTTTTGTGCCTTCTACGACCAAAAAATCTGATATTTTGGTCTATATTGCCATGACAGCATCACATGGATGTGTTTACTTTAATTTACTCTTTTTATTGATCTCATTTACTAGATTTTCTGTAAGACTATAGCTTAAGTTATTCAGTCCAATAGCTGAGCTTTTGTGCTTTTTTTTTTTTTTTTTTGTCAGAGTGAAGTTACCCTCGATGATGTTTTTAGCTTCCTGACGCATTTCCGTGCAGACGAGTCGCTGTGTAGAGGGACGCAGCTTTGGAAGCAGGTACGCTGTATCAACAATAGAACATGATTCAGATTGCAAACTGTGATTACCTAATCGTTATCCTACATGTTGGGGCATCACTGCAGCTGTGTGCATGGCTGTTGGAAAATGAAGGCAGTTTCAAGCCCAGGATTACAGATGAAGATTGCACTGGTGCTTCAACGAGTAAGGAAACCGTAAGAGCTTATGTTCAAGGCGAAATAGTCTCCTATCTTCGAGTCCCAGCTAGCACAGGTGAGTCTGAAGTGATACAGTCGCTGTATCTGCTGGTTTGGTGTGTGTATATTTTAAGGCTTTTTATCTTCTCCCCAGGTCAGACCGAGAGGTTACCTGACTCCAGAGAGGCCGATAAGTTGGCAAGAGCTATTCTGCTGTGTGTGGACATGGAGAGGGGTCAATCTGGGGCAGAGATCAGCAACACCCTGGAGTCGCTTTTATCACCACTGCTGGAGACCCTGAGCAGAGTCAGCACCAATATCTACTTGCCTCTGCGTAAGAGTGACAAGAGCCTGCAGCTGGTGCTCAGACTGTTCCAGCTCGGAGAAATCCCAAGGAGTCAACGGAACGGAGCGGAGCAAGGTTTGTAAGGATAGCGCTGAATTATTGTCCGAGCTGTTCCATCTGATTTCTTTTTTATTCACTGAACAAATCATTAAACCTGTCCTCCCAAATTATTATTTGGTGTTATATTGTATAACATACATCCTTGTAAATGTCACTTTTACATCCATTTATTTGATGGTGAGAGATCTGCATATTTAATCTTTTTCTTTCATCTATTGGTGACATTTATGATATCCGATTAAAGTGGGCTGTATGTGGCGTGCAATGGGAAATGAGTTTGATATCACTGCCTTTGATTATTAAGCTGTTTTTCCCAGTACCTCTGCTACCTCTTTATTAGGAAACACTGGACATTTATATTGATTTATAGTTTGATTTTATCCCTTTATTTTTTGAGTATTTTGTCCAGAACCGTCGCTGTCAT